ATGATCCAATTAAAGACAGACTGCCTCCCCTCTCCCCAGCCACACTGACACACACACACACACACACACACACACACACACACACACACACACACTTTCCACATCAGAAAGAACCAATACATTTCATTAACACTTCCTCATACACAAAACCTCGGGGGCACTGGCAGGCTCCCTGGACTCACAGGCACACCCCTCCCTTTTGTCACACTGTCCCCCTGCCACCCTGCAGGGGCCTGGTCAGAGAAGGGCCCCCTCCACCCTTCCTTCATCTGTGGTTCTGGGATGGGCCTTGGTGGAATCTCCCAAAAGTCGGTGCTGGGCACTAATCTGAATCGAAAGAGTCTTGTTACATTTATTGACATAAAATGCCGACTCCCCGATGTGCCTGGGAGCAGCCAGGCTGCCCCAAGGCAGGCAAATCTAATTAAAATTACCCGACCCTTTAGGAGGCTGAGCTCCCTCTCCGGTCATCCTGCAATGGCTGTAGAGAGAGCAGCTGGTACTAATGGGAGAGGTGTGGTTGTGAGAGAAAACCCCGGGCTCCTGGGGCAGGAAGGACTGCAGAGAAAAGCCGGGCAAAGGTGTTGGTTGTTCTGAGATGCTGGGCTGCCATGTTTGGCTGGGCCATTGGTGGCAACCAACCTGGGATTCCTTCTTCATGTTCAGACAGCTGCAGAGATGATTTGGGCAAATGCCGAGGACTGTTGGGGGCTCGGCCCGGTGGGAGAAGGTAAAGCTCAGGTGGGCAGGTGAGCAGGAAGAAGTGTTGGTAGGAGGAAGGTCTGGCCCTTTATGTTTCAAGTGACATCATGATGGGCAGCTCCCATGGGAGAGGTAACCCACTTCTCCTGCAGGTTGGCCTGGGTGGGGAATGAGCCTGGGATCTTGGGAAGGGCCAGGGAACCCATCTGCTTTGTACCAGACACAGTGCCAGGTGCTTACAGGGGCTCTCAGTGATCTTACTAAGCCTACTGGTTAGCTTCTGTTGGGAAACTAGAGCTCCGAGAGATTAGTACAGAAAGGAGGGGGGATGCAAGCCTGGGCTTCCAGAAACTTTTTGTTATGCCACTAATCAGGGGTCTTTCTAGGCTATGACCTGTGCTCCCTACAGGTCCCTGTCCCCTAGGGGTCTGCAAAGGTGCCCAGGATGGTGGATGGTGCGTACATGCCGCACGTGGTACGAGCGGGACCTGAGGGTCTGCATCTCTAAACAGCTCCCGGGTGATGCGGTGCTGCCAGCCCCTGGGCCATACTGTGGGTAGCAATGCTCTACGTGGAGTTTGACGGCTGCGCCCCCAAGCCATGAGACCATCCGGGGCCATGGTACTCTCCTCTCCCTTCTCACACTCCAACACAAGCCCAAGACCACCTTGCAGTTTAATTTCCAAGTGCTCGTGTAGCCTCATCTCCCCACTCCCAGTTGCTCTGGCCACTGGCCATTCTTGGAACGCAGAGGCCCTGCTCTGTCCAGAAGGCTCTACTCCAGCCCACTTTTCCTTCCGGTGGACTCTCTTACTACCCTTTATGATCAAACTCAAATATTGCCGCCTCTGTGAAGCCTTCTCTGTTAAAGCTCTGACCACAAGGTATTGGTTTCTTGCTGGCATATCTGTCCGTTCCTGCGGAGACAGGGAAGAGTCCACGCATTTGCTTTTGTAGGTTTACCCTCTTTTGCCTGGAGTCCAGCTCAGCGCCTCCATGTATTCTAGTGAGGGTTCGATAAAACAGCATGAAGGAAGGAAGGAAAGGAGGACAGGAGTGCTCCGTCTGACAGGTACTGTGACCAGATCTGGGAGTTCTTTGGGGTCCAAAGCAGGGCTCTCTCCCTGCAGGCAAGCTGGGCCTGACCTGTGCACTGGGCAGAGTGGGGCACAAGCACAGTGACTCATCCTTCCACCGGGGCCGGGAAAGACCCTCGCGGCAGGACCTCCGGATCAGGCCTCACTGCTCTGGACTCCATGTTGGCATTAGAGGCTTTCGGCTCATCTGAGTAGCTAAAAATAATGCCAACGATAATGATAGTAACAGCAATAATTATCACCATTACCGTAACAGCACTGTCATTACGGGGAGGAGTGAGGAAGGAGTCAATCCTCTTCCCATTCATCTTGGGTGGACCATTCCACCTGTTACTGATCCTGGCACCCGCTGCAGCGTATGCGAGGTCCCAGGCAAGATGTGCTTGCGGGATGCACGGGAATGTATGTGCTCACACAAGTGAGTGTGAGTAAGGGTCCAACCTCAATACTCAGCGTTGACTCGGGCATCTTTTCTAGCGGTGTGGGCCCCGCACAGAGACGTAATGACTAAAATCTCTGCTGGAGCTTCGTTCAGTCTGCTCTCAGACAACTGCCTCTTCTCAACCGCATACACAGAACAGCCAGCCCCTGAGCCCCTCCCACCCTCTGCAACATTCAGGGCCCGGCCCTGCTCTCAGCGATCTCCCCATCTGGAGGGACGGCACCGGAACCTACGCGGCGGCACACCACAGCTCTTGCTAAGAAACAAAGACAACCATGAATCAGATGTGCTCCAAGGACCAGCTGCATTAGATTCATCTAGAATGCTTTTTAAAACATTCATCTTCCTTTTCCTATAGTTTGACCTACTGATTCAGCATTTCTGAGCATGGAGCCCAGAAATATGCATTTTAATAAGCTCTCCCCAATGATTTTCAGGCATAGTAAAGTTTGTGTAATACCAAGTCCTAGATGGTCCTGGCAGATGTCCAGTGGTCCGGTGGGCTTGCTGGAGTAAAGGCAACAACGGGGGACGTGTAAGGAGAGCATCCCGAGGTGGCCATCAGCAGAGCTGAGGGTTTCTGATGCCCATGAGGGCTCAATCCCCAGCTGGGATGAGAAAAGGGTCCTGGAAGATTCTTCCCTGGGCTCTCTTGCCCCTCACTAGACAATCCCAGGAAGCTAGTGTCAACCCACAGCAGCCAGCTGAGGTATGTCCAGATTGATTTGAGAGAGAAGGTGGTGAGGAGAGTGGCTGTTGGCCATGGCCTTTATGAGCCCACCCACTGGCCTGCATGCTCATCTCTCAGGGCTGAGCTGGACTGGAGGCTGCCTGGGGCTTCCGGACATAGCTGAAGAGTCTCCTACCTGTATACAGCTCGCTTGTCAGCCTCCAGCTGGGCCTGGGGGTCAATGGGGGCACTGGGCACAGGCGTGTTGGCAGCGGCCGAGGGTGCAGAGATGTGGACAGCCTGGGTCTTAGAGGGAGCCTGGGCAGTTGCTGTCATCTGCAGAAAGAAGAAAGGGGAAGCGGCGGGTTAGTGTGGCCAGGACAGCTGGTCCCCAGCTGGAATTGGGAGGCCTACCTTGGCCTGTGGTGTGTGTGTGAATGAGAATGTGTGCCAGGGAACAGTGAGTGTATAACAAGCATCCATTTGTTTACGTGCTCCAGCGAGAAGAAAGCATTCTTCAGATGAGAATATTCTAGAGAATAACTTAGGACCGTACAAAACCAGGTGGGGCACCAGCTCTCTTCAAAAGAGACGATTCTTAATGCAAATGAAGGTGGTGACCTCTGCCAAGATGCAGAAAAAAACCAAAATGATGAGCCCTTTAAATTGTGCTTATGGGTCATTTGGGCTGTTCTGGGCAGTAATAAGTTGATTTGATGACTTTGAAGAGCAGGAAAAAAAAAAAACCGGCTGAATCAGTTCTCATTTGGGCAGAGCTTTATTTCATTTCACTCAAGCCAGAAGTAACTGTTTTAATGGTTTTGATTGATAATTGAATGGCTCTCTAAATTTGGTTTCCCTGGGCACTTGGAGGTAAACAGATTTTAGTGGACACTGGAGAGATTTCTGTTCTTAGCCATAACAAGTATTTTGGGTAGTGATTTTTGTCCTATGTGATGTTTTTGAAGGTATCCCTAGGCCCCTGATTTTGTGCCAGAGCAACTCCTTCTAATATTATATATTGGACTTTCTGTATAAAATTTTATTTAAAGAAAGGATTAGGTGGCTTAAATTTTTGGATGACCATCATTACAAATTTAATGCTTTTATAAGATATTTTCTTTAGTCAAATGGATCCCTAAAATGTCACGAATGGTGACATTGCCTCAACTCTTCTCTTCTGCTAGCCTGCACGCAGCACTGTTGGGCTTGATATACCTGTCTGCCTCCTGCACTCAAGCCCTGGTTCCACCTACGTCCACGGCACCCAATGGACACAGAGTAGATGCTTAGCCTTTGTTGAATGAATGAATGAATACATCTTGAAAGAGTCAGATGTTTTACAGTTGGGATGTTCATCATAGATCTAGGTCCCTTCCTCCTGAAAGGAAAAGCATGGTCCTTCCATTAATACAAGCACATTATTGCTGGTACTGATACCCCCAAGACATTTGCTTTTGCTGTCTCATTTACCTCATTTAGATTTTTGCTCTGGTGCCATGTGTTCAGCTTGAAACAGAGCCCCTCTGTCCCTTGCTGTCCCCTTACTCTGCTTTCTTTCATAGGCCTTTCTATGATCAGATACTACACATCTACTTGCTTAGTTATTTTCTCTCCCATTCCCAACTAAACTTTAAGCTCAAAGAGGGCTTGATTAGCAGTTGTATTCCTAGGGCCCAGAATAGCCAGGCACTAGTAGATGCTCATAAATATTTGGGGCTCAATAAATGATTGGCAGATGGCGAATGAGCTCTTTCATTTCTTAAAAGAAATCTATCTGCTTTATTATACTGGATCCCCATCATTTTTTGTTAGGAAGAGATAACCTTGTCACTGTTGACTGGACTGGGGGAACTCTCCCAAACTCAGAGTATGGGAGGCTAGACAGAGTATCATGGTACCTTCAAGCCAGAAGACGATTGCTTGAATCCTACCGTCTCCCATTATTAGCCTTTGACCTTGGGCAAGTCCCTTAACTTTCCTAAACTCCTACTTTCTCATCAGGAAGTAAATTGGTGTCATCTTAGGACCCATGGGTATTAAAGAGGTGCTATAAGGACGAAAGTAGAAACAAATGTTCCAATTTTCAAAATAGAGAAAGAAGGTGGAATCAGAAAAACTGAATACTGCTCATCTTCACATTGATCTGGGCCAGTCTCTTTCATCCACTAATGCAAATGGTCATTTCTTCAAATATTCCCTGAGTCCCTAGGCACCGTGCTAGGTAGGCACTGAGGTTACAAGGCTGAGTGCCTGCTCTCATGGAGCTGTTTCTGGATTTAACATGGTTGCTACGCTGGCAGGTGAGGAAAACGTGTAGACACGGATGGTGTAAGTGACCTCAGCAAGGTACCTCCCGCGACACCCTTGTGGAAGACATGGAGAGCCGTGACTGGCGGATGGCTGCATGGATTAGGAAGCTACACCCAAAGGGTGGCATTTATTTATTTATTTTTGTTTGTTTGTTTGTTTTAAAGATTTTATTTATTTATTTGACAGAGAGAGAGACAGTGAGAGAGGGAACATTTAAAGGACAGAGGTCAGCTTGGGGAAGGCTTCTAGGACATGCTTTCTCCTTAGCCCTCTTCTTTAGTATATTTATCAGTGATTGAGAAGGGGGCTGAAGAAATGCTCAGCAAATTTATAGGCGATGTAAGACTGAGATCCAAAAGATCTTTACAGATTTTGGCCACAGGCTAAGTTTAATAAGATTAATTTTCATCTAATAAGTCAGAATTTAATGCTTCTAACACGTGAGCCAAAAAAAAAAAAATCAATAATGTAAGTGCAGAACAGGAGAGACATGATTTAACAGCAGTGTTTGAGTTGACAGAAAGCTCAATATTTCCAAAGTGTAATGAGTCTGTCAAAAAAAAAAAAAAAAAACCCAACAAAGACAAGCAACCTCACCTAATGCTATCTGAGGATGCATTAACAGAAGCATGACTCACACAAAGCCTCTAGTCCCACTCCTCTCTGCTGAAACAAGTATAGGAAAGTACGTTCAGAGAATTGATCAGGCTGGTGAAGGGATTCTGCATTATGTCATAGGAGGAGTATTTGAATCTGGAATATGTAAGAAAGATTTGAGGGATAGGGGAGATAAGACATGGGAGCCCCCTTTGAATATCTGAACAAGGGATTATGTTATATCGGTTCTGCTCTGCAGGCCCCAAAGGGTCAAACTACAAGCAATGCATTCAATCTATATAAACGTGGAGACAGATTCGGGCTCAACCCAGATAATACGTTTCCAAGCCTCTGAGCCTTTTGAGGCTGGTATGGGCTCCATCCAGGAGGCAGTGAGTTTCCACTACTGCAGGGGCCAAGCAGAGACTGACCGGCTGGGCCCCTGTGGAGGGGATGGAAACTCTAGCTGGGCAGCATCTGAAGTCCCAACAGGGACAGGCTCAGACACCATCGGGGTACTCTAACAATCACCACCCACAGCACAGGGTTGACCAGAGGCTCTGACTGGAGGGTGTATAGTATGTAGGAGTGCTTTGGAAACTCCAAAGTGCTCCCAAGATGGAGGGGTGGTGGTAGTTAAACACATGATTTCCAGAATGTGCTTCTTTTCTAAACAAGGCACAGCTATGCCTGCAGAGCTTGATTACAGGTGAGATGTAGGGGAGGCTGGTATGCTCCACCTTGCCCACAAAGGGTGAATATCCTCGTGTCCTTGAAGGAATCCACAAGGGACTTCCATGAAGATGAGCATCTAGGAGAGAGGGATGAGGGGAAATGCTCCTTTTCCTCTCACTTCCCCTTTCTAGGCAGGACTGCTGGGTTACAGAGGAAAGCACAGAATAAGAATAAATCAAAAGCGGTCACTTGCTAGCATCCCAAGAGGCCCCAGCTGAGAGGCTGCTCCTGGGGCGCAGGGAGGGATTGGGGGCAGGAGAGAGCCGATCTGGTCTGAGTAGGACAATGATTCAAATTTATTTAGCTCCTGGGGGCCAATTCAGCAAACTCTGCATTTCCTCCAGGTTTGGAGAGTGAATGTTTACCTCCAAATAAATCCCCTTTTCTAGCCAGGGACTTCCCATTTCCCAAGAACTGAAGCTCCCAGGGAGAGGCCCCCACCTCCCCCAGCAGCTGCCTCAGGGCCTGGGGGAGGAGGGCCACTTGTGGAGGTACTGGGAGGAGGTTTCTGCGCAGCCCAGAGAACTGGTTGTCAGACATTTACTAGCACGCCTAAATGTCAGGCATTTGCTCCAAGTAACTGTCCTTTTCTGCTCGGTCTGGCAGGTACAGACTCCATGAGGCCACTTGGTATGTTCACAGCTGGTCTCAGAACTGGCCACTCCAGACTCTGAACCTTCCTCCAAGGGGACCTCAGAGCACTCTGGAAATTCTGCCTTGGCAGCAAACTGGGGACAGGGTGTGGGGACAGCACTGCACCGATGAAAGGACTGTCCCTTTGCAACAAGGAGAACTGAGGCACAGAGGAGGAAAGGCAGAGTTGAACAGTGTCTTGAGAGCTTTCTAGAAGATGGGAAAAGTCTCGGAGAGTGGGAGGAACAGGGAATCTGAGGCCCTGGGTTCATTGCTCCCTCTGTCAATTATTAGCTACATGTTTGGGGGCAAGTTTCCTGACCTCTTTGATCCTTGGCTTTCTCATCTGTAAAAAGCAGGGGTGAGTACCTACTGCACAGGCTGTCAGGAGTAATCAAGAGAACAGGGTGGGACGCGTGGGTGGCTCAGCAGGTTAAGTGTCTGCCTTCGGCTCAGGTCATGATCTCAGCTGAGGTCCTGGGATCGAGCCCCGCATCAGGCTCCCTGCTCAGCAGGGAGCCCGCTTCTCCCTCTCCCTCTGCCCCTCCCTACTGGTCCTACTCTCATGCTCTCTCTCAAGTAAATAAATAAAATCTTAAAAAAAAAAGAGAGAGAGAGAGAGAACAGGGTAATAGATGGAGAAGGGTGACAGCATTCCCTGGAAAGAGATGGGGTGCTGTGAGAGCCTACACAGGGTTCTAGGGTTCCCACCTCCTCTTACCTTAGAGTCCTTTCTTGGGGCAAAAACCCTGAGGCCACCACTCCATACTCTTTCCTTCCATGAAAGCTATAACCACTGGCCTTCTCTCCCTCATTCAGCTGGAACCGGCCCTACCTTAAGCTTGGAGCACAAGGGCCCTGCCCAGATACTTGGTTTGAAACACATTGAGATGAAAGTTCATGATCCCCATCCCCACCCTAAAACAGAGTGGGGAGAGTTGACGTTCGTAAGCTGTGTGTAGAGGAAGGCAAAATCTGCAGGCAAATCCGGCAACCTCTCTGACAGTCCAGTCTGACCAGGAAATGGGTAGGAGATACTCCACAGTGTGATTTGAGAA